CTTCTTGTGAAATATTTCTGGACTTTCTCAACTGTGCTAATATCAGATACGTAATGGGGGTTCCAGACTGATGAGCTGTATTCGAGTATTGGTCTAGCAAATGTTTTGTATACTCTAGTTAGTAGTGTAATATTACCAGAGAAAAAGCTACGTAAGGTTAGGTTAACAATGCTTAACGCCTTTTTGGCTATGTAGTTACAGTGGGCTCTAGCACTTAGATCATTAGAGATGAGTACTCTAAGATCCTTGACAGAGTTTGGATCATCAACAATGTCTTGACTATTCAGCCTGTATTTTATTTTCTGATATTTTTTTTGCCAATATGTAAGACAGAGCATTTATTTGTTGAGATTTGAAGTTGCCATTTGTCTGACCATTCTGATACAGTCAAGGTCTTTTTGAAGGGTAGCAGTATTGTCTGTGGTGTTGAATAGCTTTACATCATCAGCGAAGAGAACGCAGTTGCTCTTAATATGATCACAGAGGTCATTTATATAGAGTATCAAAAGAGTTGGTCCTAGAACACTGCCTTGGGGGACACCATTGTTGGCAGGTACACAATTTGATAGGACACTCCCAATTTTGACTATTTGTTGTCTGTTTCACAGGAATGCTTCTATCCAGTTATGCAGTTGTCCAGAGAAACCATAAGATTTTAGTTTTAGGAGTAGTTTGTCGTGTACCACTGAATCAAAGGCTTTACAGAAGTCTATGTAGATTGCATCTATTGCTTTGGCCTGATCAAATTGTGTAGTCCATATGTTTTTGCAGTGTAAGAATTGCAGATTACAGGATAGTTTTTTCTGAAACCAAATTGTTTATTAAAGAGTTTGTCTCTAAGTGGAGGATGATGGATTGGTTAATAATTGATTCCATGACTTTACAGGTGACGCAGCATAAAGAGATTGGTCTGTAATTTTCAATGAGGCTGGGGTCTCCCTTTTTGAAGATAGGGATGACCATGGCTTTTGGCCATAGTTTTGGCAAGGAGCTGGTCCTGAAAGATTTTTCAAAGATTATGCTTTGAGGTTCGGCTATGGCAGTGGATAGCTTTTTTAAGAAGTAGGCACATATTCCATCCAGTCCAATAGATAGAGATGGTTTTAGATTGCGTAGTGCTTTTTCAAAATTATCTTCTGTAAAATCGATATTTATTAGATCACTGTAGTTGTCTGTGTTTTGACTAGGAAATACTGGGCATGATCCATGGCTGTTTACAAATACTGAGCCAAAGAATGTGTTCAAGATGTTGACTTTAATGGTGTCATTGTTGCAGTCTTTACCATTTGGTCCTTTCAGGGGTGGGATGGACCTTGAGTCTTTTAGTTTGTTGTTTACAAAATTGTAGAACGCGCAGGTGGAATTGGTGCATAGGTTTTCCTCTTGTTTAATGTGATAATTGGTGCATTCAGTCTTTATCTGGTGGCATAAATTTTTGTATTGGCTTTTGAAGTTGGCAACATGACCAGATTTGTTTTTCCACCAAAGTGATTTCTTTTGGATTGAAGCTTCCTTATTGTTATGGGTAATTTGTTTTTTCTGGTTTGGGGAGTTGTTAATGGTACATATAGTTTGATGACTCTTTTGACTTCAAGTAAAAATATGTTGTAATGGTCTTCTACAGTATTGCATCCAGTGAATAGAAATTGCCAATCAAAGGATGAAAGATCCTTGTTTATAAGATCATAGTTGCCTTTTTTGAAGTTATAATTGGGGATTCCATCGTTGTGATGATTTTTGTGTGGACGTATGTTGAGACAAAAGTCAATCATGTTGTGGTCACTGTTGGAAAAGGGTTTTTTAATTTGTATTCCATAAATTGAATTCAAACTATTGCAGATGATGAGATCGAGGCAGTTGTTAAGTATAGTGTTGGTTACCAGTTGTTCTAGTCCGAGATTTGTTACTGCATTGTAGAAGGTTGCATGTGTGGGTTCAGTTGTACATTCGTTAAGGGTCCAGTTAATATGAGGTAGATTAAAGTCACCGAGAAAGATAAAAGCATGTGGGCAGGATGCTGCCCATGTTAGTAGTGTATTTAGCTTGTTTGCATGTTCGATGTCATAATCAGGGCCCTGGTAACATAGTAAGAACCAAAATGTGATGTTTAAGAATAGTTCACAGACAATGGTCTCAGGAAGAGCAAGCTCCTGGGTAACTTGGTTTTTTTTTAGATGTAGGGACTTTTTATAGAAGATAGCAACACCACCTCCTCTACAGATTTCACCATCTGATCAGTAACATGATAGTCTATTACTGTGGTAATGGAGTCAGGGAGAGATACATTGAGCCATGTTTCACAGACAAATATAATGTCAAATTTAGCCATATTTAGTAAGAGGAGAAATTCAGGTATTTTATTTACAAGGCTTCTTGCATTGAATAGCTTGCATTTAAGGCCAGTTGTGGTTGGAATAGAGGTAGTTAGGGGAATGCGTGCCTAATTTTGAGTGATATTGGTTTGGATGGGGTGGGGTTGGATGCGGAGTTGTGGGTTGTGTGACTTTCTTTTGATGCAATCAGCAGGGTAGTCAATGTATAGGTCCTTTGCTCCATTGTCTAGATGGCTTTTGAGTTCTGCACGGATCTCACGGGAGCGGATTCTTTGCGGTATGGATAAGTCTGGTCTTGAGCGAAAAGTTTTATGGGTGGGATTGGATTTTGCAATGGCGTTTATTGTATGAATAAATATACGTTTGCTGGACTCATTTTTGCAAACAACTCTACAAAATCTTGGGGCCACAGAGCCATCATTGTATTTGTACCCAGGGCCATCTCTGGTTATTTCAATGATATCTTCAGGAGAGAAGTTTGTTGTATTTGAGTTGCTTATGATATTGTGAACTTTGGTGATGTCGTCTGATTCGTTGGTGTCTTCAAGACCGAATAAGATGGCATTTGGATGTCTCTGATGAGTAAGGGGATATTATTTGTGGAATTATTTGATGGGATAGTAATTGTTTGAGGCTGTGGTTTGGTTGTTATTTTTGTAGTTGAGGTAGTGGTTTGGTAGTTGTGGGATTTGATTTTGAGCTGATAGGTAATCACTTATCTGTGCTATATATTTTTTTTCAAGAGAGATTAGGCTTGCTTGTATAGTTGTTTCAAAATGTGTTGCTAAGCGTTCTTCTATTGAGTGAATGAGTGATTCTAGTACAACCGGGCTTCCAATACTGGATAAAGGGAAAGATAAATGAAAAGTCTCCTCTTGACTTTGGTGCACAATGTCTTACACTGTAATATAATGTAGTCCTCAATGACTAGTTGCTTAAAGACCACTCCAAGTTATGAGGGACCCACCCCCAAAAGTTACTTAGAACCCAGATTCAAAGTTCTGATTATCACCACTTCACTGTCATCAGCACACATTAATGGCCATTTGCAATATCCTGCAGTCACAGGACTATAATATTTTGCTGGAAATCAACATTTACTCCCGGTCTCTGGTAAAAAATGCCCACGACAGACAATGGGTTTGTTTTACAATTGCAGCATTCACTTTACAATTATTGCATTCACTTAAAGACTGCCACAAAAAAGGTAATTAAATCAGGTTGATCTCATTATTGACATGATTTGCAACGTATCATGACCTGTGATGGAAATTCAAGATTCTATCACAGTTGTGTTTAGCAATTAAGCTAATGTTTGGTTAACCCATTTCAATTATTTTTTTAAAAGCATGAAAGAATTAGTCAAAACACTGTGCTCATGTTTGTTCTGAAGAAGCTGTATTTGTGGAACATACATTTTCTGAAGTACATCATAGATTGCATTAATACACTAGCACAAAACATGTTTACATTAAGAAAAAAACATTACCAATATATTATCTGCACAAAATCCAGTATAAAATGCACACTGCTTCTAAGAGAATAGATTATAGATCACTATTGAGCATAAACATTTCTAAATCACACAATCAATCAAGAGAATCTGATAAGCATAACTGTAATTTGTGCCTTGGAATCCTGCCTGCTATGTATCAAATATCTATCTAGTCATATCTTTTTAAGGCTGTAATTGAGGCATGTGCCACTGTGTCAGCCAAAATTTAACTGACTGCCTCATGAGCCAATCACAGTACAATAATCTATGAAAATAACAGGCATAAACTTCCATTGTTTACAAATTCACTGCTAAGATATTATGACTTATAATTGTGGCTTTTATAAATGACACAACTTTTTGTGGCATTTTAAATTGTAATTGTTTCTGTATTTATCTTTTTTATCATTTGTAAATCACCTAGAGTTGGCTTATTGGCAAGATGGGCAATGAATGAATGAATGAATGAATGAATGAATGAATGAATAAATAAATAAATAATATTGAGAAATAATGTTTAGGAAAAATGAAGGGATAAGGACTCACCTTAACATAATGAGACAATATGCAAAGTGATATGGGAAGAAAGTTAATCAAAATTATATGTAGGGCTCTGCACAGAATTAAATTTAAGAAAACATCAATCTATCCAATTTTGTATAAATCCAGCTTTACCCCACAACTCTGCATCTTTCAGCCCATCCTGCTCAGAGGATTAGCTCTGTTCTCCAGATAAATTCTTTTGTAGAATTGTAGAATTGTAAAGAAGGGTGGCATGATTTGACTAAATTTCTTATGAGTTGGAGACCATTATTAGATTTCTTATGCAAAAAGGAGAAAAATCAACCTTTGACTTTGAGATCTGAAGATTAGACTGGATTTGAGTAGAGAAATATTGCAGCTTTTTAAACATAGAGATTTGTATTTAATAATTTACTACTTCTTAGATAAAATTAAGAGAAGAATATTTTATGCATATTGAGAATTTTAGTAAGTTGATTATTAGTATTTTAAAATGTTTCATATATTGGTGCTATTTATTTAAATTAAGAGGTGGTTGTATTATTATAGCTGTACCAAAAGTAAAATAGAGGTCATTTCTGTTACAAATTTGTTGGATATTTTTGTCAGTTTTAATTTTAATTTAATTCCCTTTCCCTTTTCTGTTAATTTGTATTTTAAAGTTTAATGTTGAAAATTAATAAATATATTATAAAAAGAAAAAATAAAGGCAGCATGGTGCAAGAAGGAACAAAAATATGCTTCCACAGTTTCACGAACAAATTACTAGCTGTTTCACACATTGAGCTAACTGTGGATTGTTTTACCCATAGGTTACTGAAACATTGCTTACAACAGGGAACCCATCAACAATAGTTTATGATACATACTAATAGCTTGATGGATATTTTAACACTAAATCAAAATCATACTGAACATATAATATTGAATATATAATAGCTTAGCAAGATGTTTTTTCCCTTAAATTTGCAAGATTCTTTACATTACTAATGTATTTCTACAGTCAGAAAAAGGCCTAATAATGGAAGACAATATTTTGTACCATTATTCTTCAAATCAGCCTCTTTGGAAAATAAAGTACTTTGCTCTCGATAAAGCAAGGAAGCATCTACAGATAACTCTGCCTTCCTCTTATTGATAATAACAAGTTAGCAAACCTCTTCCGAGCACACATAAATGCAAAATATACAATTCCTGCTAAAAAGCCAGCCAGAAGAGTTGTACCAAAAACTTTGGGTGCTCTCTTCTTTGCTACTCGAAACGCTGTTGGGAGAACTGCTGAGATTAGTATGTTGTTGACATGTCCCAAAACCTTATGAAATGTTTGTCTTTTTAGGACACGGTCATAATAGGCTTCCAAGTTAGGTCGCTTTCCATTTCCCCAACTTCTCCTTGCTAGTCCAATGAACTTCAGCCGATGGAGTGTTACAGCAAGGGATACATCAGCCAAGCTAAAGAATTCTCCACAGAGCCAAGGCTGATGTCCATTTTCTGATATCAAAAATAAAGGCATAAATAATTAGAGACCAATCAAATGCAATACAATGCAAAGATTCCTCTAATGCATGCAATTAATATTCTTATTAAATGTGTGTAACCATTAGTTTTAGATTACTTGTTGCAATGGTTTGGCAAATAGGAGCATTACTTGACTTGAAACAGCCTAGATTACTAATGGAGCTATCGTTCAACATTGTAAAATCAAAAGAAAATGAGACAGAATTGACTGCAAATAATATTTTACCTGGTGTTTCTTCATTTCTTCTTTGCAACTCAGTTTCAACCTGATCCAAAACTTTTTCCAGCTCATCTATTATTTTCTGTAAGTACTTTATGTTATCATGGTCCATCAATTTAGACTACAGGAAATAAATAGATTAAATATTAGCTTGCAAAAAATGATAAGTTATCTTGAATATTATGAATCTGAGTAAGCAACTGTAAGATGACATGTACAAAATGACATGTATCTAATTCCTTTTAAAATGGAATTATTCCAAGCAGAAAAGCATGCAATAACAATATATGCTATTTCACATTAATATTATACTCCAAGCAATCCAAGGATCCATTTTAACTAATTATACATATTCTGTTCTTACTTTGAGTCGTTTCTGCTTTGCTATATATGCATCTTGCAGATCTGGGTTTTCTTCAGCAAGTTTCTTTAATTCAGATTCAGTATTACCTATTTGGCCTTGCAAAATAGCAATAAGTCAGTTAAGGTTATTAATCACCAAACTTTCAAATAAATTAAGTAAAGTTTATCATGTTAAAATGTTTTGCTTCCTAACCAAATGTATGGATTTACAATATCTTGTGTGAACAGTTCACTGAACCCTCATCTGCAATGCAAAATTAATACTGAAAGTCAATTAATATTTATTTTACAAATGGTTTTCTTAAAACATCATATGTTGCTTATTTCAACAGACAGATAAGTTGATTTTTAATCATTATAAATTTGGTAAAATCATTTAAATAAGAAAATTAAAATGAATTTGAACACCACAGATAACTAGGGCATATAAAATTCTTGTACATACTACGAATTCTGGTTGTGGCATATGCAGGAATCATAGAGTCTACTGCTAATTCAGGATGTAAAATGCAACCATGTGTGTATGCGTCCATAGGCAAGGAATCTAGTAGTTCTCTGTAGTGTTGAACCCTTGGATAATACATACTTCCTTCTTCTGGCATTAATTTTGGAGTATTTTCTACAGAGAAGAATATCCATAGATGAAAGTTAATTAAAAAATAATAATAATAAAAGGTTGTTTTAGATATTTATAACCTCTTACCCACTTCAGCCCTGACATCTGAAAGTAAAAAATAAAAGAGATTTCAAATATGATCTGATTGTGAATGAAAAGCTGAATTAGTGAATTTATGTTTTTCAACAAGTTTTTTTATTTTATTCACAACATTACAGCACAACTTTTAAAAGTAAGAAAAAATACAAGAACAAAGCAAAACAAAACATCAAGAAAAAAACAGCAGCAGTTAAACTTCAAATCTCTTTGTTAACAATCTGTAATTATATTTAACTCGCAGAAAGATTTCTTATCTACCCTAAACCACCACAATCATTATCTCTGGTCCTTCTGGAATCAAGTATCCTTAATTGATGCTTAATGATAAATATTTTCCTTAAAATTTAAATGAGATTTTTCCCAAAGATTGCATCTCATTCCCCAAAATCATAAATCTCTGTGGTAAATATCTCTGCAGCATTTGTTGTTCTAAGAATCTTCATACTAGTTGGAATACAATACCTCTTGAACTATTCAAGTTAAAGGAGATTTGAGTTAGGGTTTAATCTTTCTTTGCTTTGTCATAATGAGAAATAGCAACATTGAACCTCTTTCGTGATAAAAGTAACAGTGAAAAAGACCAATGTTCTCTTCCACAACTGCATTTTCTTAATATACATAGTCCCCAACTTACGACCACAATTGAGCTCAAAATTTCTGTTGCTAAGTGAGTTTTGCCCCATTTCATGATCTTTCTTGCCACAATTGTTAAGTGAATCACTGTAGTTGTTACGTTAGTAACATGGTTGTTAAGTGAATCTGGCTTCCCCATTGACTTTGCTTGTCAGAAGGTCGCAAAAGGGGATTACCTGACCTTGGGACACTTCAACCGTCATAAATATGAGTCAGTTGCCAAGCATTTGACTTTTGATTATGTGACCATGGGGATGATGCCATGGTCATAAGTGTGAATAATGGTCATAAGTCATTTTTTTCCATGTCACTGTAACTTTGAATGGTCACTAAATGAACCATTGTAAGTCAAGAACACACCTACAGTGAAAAGAACCTTTCATTAGTTTAGGGCCTTTAACTTCTGTCTCAGTAGAAATGAAACAAATTTGTCAGAAGTTTATCAAGCATCATATTTTAAGGACTGTCTATAGCAGGGCTGTCAAACTTCCATCCCACAGGTTGGATGAGTCACATGCTGGCCACGTCCGCGCCTGGTTTAGTGAAGGGGGGAAAAGTCCCATACGTTATGTAACGCAGCCGTGACGATGTGAGTTTGACACGCCTGGTCTATAGAATACTACGGGAAGCTTCCTTCTTCATTTTTAAAGCTGTAGAATGTGAATAAAAGACTTGTGAAGCAGCTTTTATTTCCTTCATCCTTGCTTTCATGTTCAGCTGGGTCCAAGAAGGTATATTTAAGCCAATCTCTATTAAAGAAAGCAAAGCGTAACTCCTGGAAAAAAAATTAACACTGGCTTCAGATCTGAAAAAGTATAGACACTGATAAAATTCTACCCCAGTTACCTTTTTTCACCAGGATTTAGCCTTGTTTTGGCAGGCTGCGCTATCAAGGGTGACTTTATCTGAACTTGGAAATTAAACAAGATCTCTTCTGGTTAGTACTTGGATAGCAGTCTGGGAAATCAAAAGACAGCCTAGAAGAGGATAATGGCAAACTTATTTTGATACTTTTGCCAACTTCATGTCCACATACTCATCCAGAGTTATGATTTGGTAGCCCAGAAGAAAAATTGAGGCCATGTTTACCCTCTCAAAACTCTCAGCAGCTTTTAGTTACTATTTCAATTCCATTCAATACTTTCAATTCAGTTAATATTTATTTAAATGTGTTGTAGATGACACTCCATTGGACTAATATTATTACTTATGGTATCCTTTCAAGACACTCTTTCAATCAATCTGGATAATTTTGTTTGTTTGTACTTAAATGCCTGTCTCCACAAGTTACTACTGGTGGATTTCTGCTTAGGTGCATAGTATAGGAATCCATACTATGCTATAGGTTATCATTTAGCTCCACCCGGTTGAATACCTGTATACAGAGTGACATATTCTTGATATGATTTTAGTTAACAGGATCATATAAGAAATAAAGAAATCCTTTAGCTTCCCAGGTAGCCATTGCCAATTAAAGTAGATAATTCTGGTCAAGGTAGATTCCTGTTTCTCTACAAAAGAGTTGTTGATAAAAAGATTTATACATATCTATATCCCACTCCAAAAATGTTTTCCTTTCAAAGTGTCTTTTCTATGTCTTTCAAAGAATAAAACTTAAAATTATGTATCCCTCCTGAAAACTTTCTCAAACTGCAATTTATTTATCACATTTAGAAACCAAGCATCTCCCTCACAGAAAGACTCTGGGTGGTGTATAAATAAGACACAAAACATACAATGTATACTACAAATAATCATTTAGTACATAAATAAATTTCTATGAAATATGATGTCCCAAAGATGCTGTTTCAAAAGGCAACTGGATTTTCTTGTTTTTCTATGAAGATGTTTTGCTTCTTATTCAAGAAGCTTATTCAGCTCTGACTGGATGGTGGGGAATGGAAAGATTTGTATTCCTTTCAAACAGCTGGTCATTTGCATTCTTTTAGAGAGTCATTGAGGCCACGAGGAATATAATTCAATTCCTTTCTGCAAGGAATATAAATCCTTCCACTCCCCACTATCCAGTCAAGAGCTAAAGAAGCTTCTTGGGTGAGAGGCAAAAGAAAAACGAAGTCCAGTTGCCTCTTGAAATAGTACCTTTGGGACAACAATGACCTGGATAATTGGGAATCTCCACAGACATATGAAATAAGATACACACATTAAAGCATTTTTTAAAAAGCACACAAATACTCTTATTACCATTCACAAAAGTATCTTCAAGGTAGTCAATAATCTGAGTTGCATCACAAATTATGTTCTCTTTGTGAATGAGCACAGGGACTTCTCCTGATGCATTTAACCGCATAAACCAAGGCTCGTTATGTTCACTCAATGGAAGGCTTACATCATGCTCTTCACATTTCAACCCCTTTTCAGCAATCACCAGTCGTACCTGAAACAAATGGATGAGCTTCCGGTTGAAGGTAGTTTTAAAAAGCATACAGTTTATCACATATTGTATGGATTCAAAGCCAAACCTGGTCATGGAATCTCTAGAGTGCCATACCAAACTTGCCCTGGGATATTTGCTATGGACATTGGGAGATTATGACAATAAATAGCTAAATAAACATGCTGCTATTCCAGAGAAACAATAAGAGACCTGCAGGAACCATTTAATGTGAATATTAAATATCAGCTCTTCATAGGACACTTTTTCCCTGTAAAATAAATTGAGTTCACTTGGTTTTGTTATTGCTTATTTTTCATTCCTTTACTGTATATTGGATTAGCCAAGCCCCAATTCTTAATGCACAAAATGTAACAATAGTGGAAAGGGTTTGGGCCTATTTGTGAAGCTTCCTGGCTTCACTATGCCATTTTTTTTCATTATTATTTTTTCCTTCTTCTTTCGGGCACCCACTCAGAGCTGCCTTCAATACAATGCTTTGTCCCCACGAGGCAAATAGGCAGTTTTAAGGGGGCTACATGGGCAGGGGGAGCTATCCAGGTTCTGAAATACAACATTCCTTTTTGCAAACGAAACACTCACCTTTTGGGAACTGAAGGACTGTGTCCAGTGATAGAGGATGAGTTTAGCCTCTGACTTGACCTCCACTTCAGCTGGGGGTGCTTCATTGGCCATCTGGTCCTCCTTTACTTCTGCCATTTCACGTTTTTGTTCCTGCTCCATTCACTGCTCCGAGATTCTGCCCATGAGATTTGATTCTTTTTTCACTCTCTCTCCTTTCTGTTACTGAGTCTGCTCCATAAACTGAGCATGCTCATTATTAGCAGATGAAGCTGCCTTCCTGGTTTTGCCCTCACTCTCCAACAGGATTTCATGAAATGAAGCTGTTTAAAATCTTGGGTATTCAGGATCAACACAGAGATAACCAAGCTACACTACCTATCTAGATTCAAGAAAATGTTTTTTTTTCCTGAATCTCTTCTCTAGTTTGTAATAAATATTCTAGATACATTTAATTAATTTAACTAAAATACAAAGCAGCTTCTTTGAACTCAAGACAGGAATCTGAACCTATATAATGAAGGATAATGGAATCAAATGAATATGCCTTCAGTGTTTCAATAGTATATTAATATCTGCCTCAAAATGTGTCTGAGACGCATGCTTGTTATGTATTTCCCATGTTTTTCTTTTAGTTCAACTCACCTTCATACATAATTTTATTAAACTCCTGGGCATTTCAGTGACTCATAAGTGTATTCCATTGTAATTAGCTTTGTGTTTGTTTCATAATGGTAGATGTGATACTTTCTGTTGTATTTAAAATATATATTTGAAATGTATATTCTAGTTTTTCTTCATCTCAGATTAACTGGAGAATCTTCTTTCACTTTTATTCCCTTATGGCTGAGGCCAGACATGAACATCTTAACCATATTTTAGCATAAGTATATGTTTAATTGGTTTCAAAAAAATACAGACTGCTAATAGTATCATGGAAATGACAAATACACTTTTGGAAACTAAGTTAAGAGCTGGACTACATAAACTGTAGTTTCCAAAAAGTAAAAATTAATCATGCAAACATTCAAATGAGGGTTAGGCATTTCATGCTAGAACTATTAACCTTCCTTAAGATAATTTATAACAAAGATTGAAAAGTGTGCTTAAGATGGCTAACATTGTTTAGAAAATTACATTTTACAGTGTTTTGATTACAGAAAAAATAAAGAAATATTTCAAGTTGTAGAATAATTAATGAAAGGAATCACTTAAAAATAAGAGGATTTTGTCAATAAATGAGCACAGCAAAATAAATGTGTCAGGGAACCATCACTAATTCACACCACTTGAAAAATTCTTAACAAATTAAATCACTTAACTCTGAATGACCACAAGAGGTCTCCATAGTTCTAGAAATAGTGGGGCTACACTTCCTCAAGTGAAAGGTTATATTGAGTTTATATTTTCTTATTATGGCTGGTTGCACAGTCAGCCAGAGGTTTTGACTGGATTTGGCATTTTTGTCCACTTATGTTCTTCCTAAGGATCTGGAATAGGCAGGTGTTGTTTAATGGTATTAAAGCAGGGTGCAAGTTGTTCCAAGTGAAACTGCCTTTTGCAATTGATCGATGGTGACTTTGTCAATATTGATAGTGTTCAAGTGAACTGCTCCAATTGCTTTGAGATTACACCAAAGGCACCTATTTTGCTTTCTGTTGCTACTCTATTTTTATTTGCAGGTCTTTGTATTTAGTTATCTCTCATTTCTGTTCTGCTATCTCCAGGTATTGCCACACCGACCATCCAAACTTTTTTGTCTTTTTTTATTGACAATTGTTAAGTCTGAAGATTTATGTAGCAAGTACTTATTATGGTTGGTAGCACAATCAGCCAGATGTGAATTCAGTATTATTGTTGTTGTTGTTGTTATTTTAAAATTTGTTTCCAGTGTAGATATAAGTGTTCACATTTTCTTTTATATTTTTTTAAACTCCTTGGAGAAAGACTGCTGACGATAAAACCATAAAAACAAACTTCACCTCAAACTTAACTATCTTTTCTAATATGATATCAGTCAGGAATATCCCAACGGGAGAAAAAGTTACCATTTGGGAATATACGTCTGGTATTCATAGCTGTTCATTACAGTATAAAGAAAAAATATGGAAATGAGAAATATATATTTCTGAGACTGAACTGAAAACCACCATCGATATCAGTTGTCTATGAACCAAAGAAAGGGCGATGCTTATATAGGGCAAGCGCCAGACATTTTTTCATGGCTTATAGATAAGGCCTTCAAAAATGTCAGCACTGTAGATTAGACTAATAAGCTAATATACTGGAGGTCCAAATTCTATGGCACTGATTTTTTTAGTTTGCCAAACCAACTGACCACAAGAGGGCAGTAGCCGGTAGGAGTAACTAGTTAAGGGTTAAACTCTATGTCTCTTGTCTTTCACCCTGTCTGTTGTTTGTCTAAGAGACCGTTAATTTGAGGTCAGTCTTCTGCCTTCCTCCCTGATGCTCTAGAGGTTAGGCTTTGCCTATTACTATAATGTATAGGGTATGTATTTCCTCTAAATAAATCTCCCTTCTGTTATAGAGGCATGCTTCACTAATTAATCTGGACTAGAAAATGCCAAAAGTCAGTTTGGTCCAGTGGTTAAGGCACCAGACTGGAAACCAAGAGATTGTGAGTTCTAGTCCTGCCTTAAACATGAAAGCCAGCTGGATAATTTTGAGCTAATCATTCGCCTAATCAGGTTGTTGTGGGGAAAATAGCAGGAGAAAAGAGCATTAGGTATGTTCGCTGAAGAAAGAGAAACAGAGAATAAAGGAAAACAAATTACTTTGGATATTTTCATGAAGTCCACCATAGATCAAAGAGGTTTGTTTTATTTTAAGAACCTCTCATCATGACAACCTGGCTGCTGAATTCAACCAATAAAAGTGAAAAAGAATTGGAATTCATGCATTTACTTATTCCTGCCCTTCAAACCCACATGCATATCACTACTGCAAGTAATCTAAATGAACACATCCATTACATTCCATGATAATTAGTCATGGGTTCACAAATTTTATGACTAGAACTAGGCAACGGTTCAACATTGTTACAAAGCCTTTACTCATTTGCTTTGTAATCTGTACAAGTCACGTAAGGTTTTGTTATGTCGGCAATATGAGAGAGATATTTAAAACTGGAACATCTCGGATTCTGATCTGTTGCCTCTGATTACCAGTACCAAATGTGGGTCAATTTTTTTTAATTGAAAGAGGAGAGAGAGAAATAGAGGCCGATTTTTTTCAAACCGATTGTTGGAATATTTGGAATAAAAGTACTTAAGTATATAATATGGAATATTTTCAGTATATAAAATGCTTTAATTTTGTTTCCATTTCATTTCACCCTAATATTGATTATAAAGCAATGTTTTAGATTCTGGCTTAATTTCATTCAACTAATCTGACCTGAATGTAAAACCCATCAATGTCAAACTGCCATTTTTCTTTGTATACATGGAAAAACTATGTACAAGTGGTTGTGAACTAAGGAAACTTAATGAAAAATAACCTATATAGAAGTTTAGGAAGAACGTAGAAGGATTTTTCTGCTACTTCTGACAACAATTTAACAGCAGCAGCAACAGCAACAAAAACTTTTACCAACTGTATGATATACCTTTAGCAGTTAATAATCCTACTTCCAGCAAAATTAAGTATTTTATCTTCCTTTCCTTTCTACATAAATTTCATGCATCAAATATATTGTTCTGGCATATTTAATTTTTAGAAATATCATTTTTTAAAATTTCAAAGGTGACAACTGCCCTGGATCTTTTAATTTCCTATGGCATGCGTATGTCTCTGCTCCCTTTCAGCTATTGATTTTATTTGTGTTTTTTTTCAAATGTTCAGCTGTGATTGCATTTGCTAGCAGAGATAAAACAGCATTACTGGTGAACAAGCATGAATTATCAGCAGGGGTAGAAAAAAATTGAGATTTGAAGTAGTAGAAAAATAGACACTGTAGTCACAAGCTCTGATTGTACTACTTTTAGGTGGGGGCTGAGTCCCTGCCTGCCTGGGTTCCTTTCATAATGCTGTTGGTTATTTTGTTTGCTTCCTTGTCATGCATGGGTGATACTGGTTTGGCTACAAAATCAATAGCAGTCAACCATGAACACGGCAACTAGAGGGAACTGGAGGACAAGCAGTCCAACCAAAGCTAATTTTCAATAAACTGCATCGATTTTTCTGGAAAGAGAATTAAGCCAACAGTAGTACTTAGCATGTTTCCAAAAATGAGGCCAAATTTTCATTACTTTCTTGGTGTAACCTTGCCCTATCTTTACACTTCACAAAACCTGATTTATGTGAAGATGGAAAATTCATGTCCTCCAGCTATGGCTGCAAACTCTGCCAGTCTATTTGGAACATATGGCAAATTTACTTCTTACTGCTTTTCTCTCTTATTGTCTTTAATAATATTGCATGGTGAAAAATGATGGACACGTATAACCTTCCCATAACAAAAACCCATGAATTAGGTTTATAAAGGTCTATATGGTGAGATAAAGCGTCCCTCCTTCTCACATTAACAGTTTGTATTTCATCTCATAAATCTATCTTTCTATCGTGTGTGTTTTAGCTACTTTAGGGATATTTGTGGATGATTTTTAATTGTGTTTCCAAATTACAAAACATTTTCCCAAATTAGACATAATGCATAAAATAAAAATGTTCTCTTTCTCCTTAAGATCAAGATTTATTATAAATACTCCGCTACCAGAACCTATATATAACACAGAGAGAAACAAACTTTCGTGCCAGAACAATAGTTTTTCCATATGAAATGCACTGAATATACTAAAGCTTCAATATTTAAAAGCAAAATTACTGAATATGTGCATCAAGCTACATGTGGGATGCAATTATGTAACTTACTTTAAACTCAAACAAAAACCATGTGGTGGGACAGCAAAAAATTCAAAATGCTTTTTTTTAAAGACCCATTCTACCCAGGAATGAATTGGGAGAAATATTTTTCACATAGCATGCTTCAACCCACGGATGACTAATGCAGATTATCATTTCACCAAGTGTTCTGAGGTAAGTCAAACTTGGTGTTAAGTTGCAGAGAAATTTAAAAACTGTTTCTTTAGACCTAAGATTGTTGAAAGCTACTAAAAGAGGCTCAGTTTGCCACCATTGTCCTGCAAAAGAACTGAATAGATTTTTAAACAGAGGCCATCCCACAATGCAATCGTAGTAAGTTTTAAGAAAGGTAAAAC